ACTCCCAAGGAGGGGCCAGCCACAGCTCCTCTGGGCAACCTGTTCCAGTGCCTCACCACCCTCAGAGTCAAGAATTGCTTCCTTAGATCTAATCGAAATCTGCCCTCTTTCAGTTTAAAGCCATTGCCCCTTGTCCTATCACTACATGCCCTTGTAAAAAGTCCCTCTCCAGCTTTCTCATAGGCCCCCTTTAGGTACTGGAAGGCTGCTAGAAGGTCTCCCTGGAGCCTTCTCTTCTCCAGGCTGAACAGCCCCAACTCTCTCAGCCTGTCGTCATAGCAGAGGTGCTCCAGCCCTTGGATCATCTTTGCATCCCTCCTCTGACAGCTCTCTGACCCCAGAGCTGAATGTGGTACTGCAGGTGGTTCCTCATAAGAGTTGAGCAGAGGGGCAGAATCCCCTCCCTTGACCTGCTGGCCACACTTCTTTTGATACAGCCCAGGATACGGTTGGCTTTCTGGGCTGCCAGCACACATTGCTGGCTCATGTTGAGCTTCTCATCAACCAGCACCCCCAAGTCCTTTTCCTCAGGGCTGCTCTCAATCCATTCTCCATCCAGCCTGTACTTGTGCTTGGAATTGCCTTGATCTACGTGCAGGACCTTGCACTTGGCCTTGTTGAACTTCATGAGGTTCTCACAGGCCCACCTCTCCAGCCTGTCAAGGTCCCTCTGGATGGCATCCTTTCCTTCCAGTGAGTCAACCACATCACACAGCTTGGTGTCGTCAGCAAACTTGCTGAGAGTGCACTTGATCCCACTGTCCATGTCGCTGACAAAGATGTTAAACAGTGCCAGGCCCAATACTGAACTAGTTTTTAGACTCTAAAATCTTTGCAGGATCCTTGGTAGTTCTCTTAAAGCTCATATTGTTTTTCACCATCAGAAGCACCAGATAAAAGCATTTTTCTGCACCAAAATTGACAGACAATGCTATTTTATGTTAAATAGTGTATATTTTACGTTCTGAGATTATGATGCCGTAAATACATATGTATGTGCTTTGCCGCTTGACGCGGAGTGGTTTGAATTCTAGCCCGTAGCCTGCGGGCAGAGCTGTGAGCTCCTGCACACGTGGAGGTGCTGTGTTCATGTCTGGGTGTTGAGTTGCCCGGGAACTAAACCAGCGTTTTATGACCAGCGATGTAATCTGTGGCAGTCATTGGTTCCGATTTTCTTTTGCTACTTAGGTTTGCATTCATTGCCTTTCACTTGGTACCTTTTCAAGGGTAACAAAAGTAACAAGGTAGGTTTTATGTGAAGCAAACCACATGTAGAGAAAGCACTTTCCACATTGTTCCAGAAGCATAAACTGTCCCAGGCTGAAATCTCAAAGCCATCCTGTTATTCTAAGATATGGCATCAAATCGAGTTGTGTTTGAAGGATGTCATGAGCTCACAAGGAAGTAGGTTAGGCAGATAGTTCAACTGGAGGGAAGAAAGTATTCCTTATAATTCCTTTAGTACCTCACAAAAGTTCTTTAAAAAGATCAAAGACTGTTTTGTACAAATTTTAAATGATTAATGATATGCATCTGTAGATGTATGAGCTCAGGAGCAGAATTTTTGTCTCAAAACTTAACAAATCCTGTCCTACAATAATCAGACACCTGATCAAGTGGATCACCAAAACCCTGTTCTCTGGTTTGTGAGGATTCCTTTTGTCTTCATGACTAACTAGCATAATGAGTTTGGACACACAGTCTGTCCGATGGCGTTTTGAATGCTCATTCAGAACAAATAAGTGCTGCTTGTTACCATTAGTTTATGCAAAGATTTTGGTATGAATGAGAGAGTTGACCCTTTCCTTCCCAGTTAGAACTGCAACTCTCATCTAGGTGACATCAGCTTCCATTCTAACTATTGCATGACCCTCTTCCTTTCTGGTTTTAGCAAATACCATTGAGGCCTCATCACGGACTGATGTTATTGGCTTATTACACATACCTTGGACATTCCTCTACTGGCTTTGGTCAGCCCACACAAGCTCTTCCTCTGGTCTTCCGAGATGACAGATCTGTTCTTTGCTGTACCTACTAGCATGTTGTTTTACTGCTGAGATACTGACACTGGACTTTACGTGCCATTTGTGGGAGCGGGCAGGGAATATTGTAAATAGTTTCACTGATTCTCTGAGAAAGAAGAGATTTCATGTGGACATGCAGCAAGGCACCTCACAGTTACCATCTGGCATCGACAAGTTCAGCTATCACAATGACACTGTCACTGATGTCTTGTCATCATCTCTTTGTTTCTTTGTGCTCTTTATTTCTCTTGCATCCGTCACAGCCTTATTACACATCAGCATTTTGCACCAGCATCAGGTTTTTATTATGTCATGTTGTTAATTTTTATGTTGGAGAATACAAAAATGTAATGTTGGAGAAACCTTCACAAATGAATTGTAACAGATTTTGTTTGTACAAACAAAATTACATTATTGTGCATTGTTACATTGTCTAGTTCATATTCCCCATTGTAATGGCCGTGGAGAGGTATCAAAATAAATTCAAATTACTCAGCAAATAAAAGTTTACATTTAAAAATTTCCTGTATAAATTCTGTATGTAAAAGAGGTTCTGGCAATTACAGAGTAGCTAACTAACAGTAAGAAGTGTGTTGCCTGCCAGTGGTTTGTCTGATGATAGATTTGTATGAAGTATCTGTTTAAAGTATTTTTAAATAAGTGCATCATCCATGAATTTCACATGAAGAAAATCCATTATCTGCATTGCCAATGGGTTTTATTCAGTGATTTGTTGCTGTTATTGTTTACAGCTTAGAAATTAGGCCTAGTTTAGCCTTTCCTTGCCACTAGGTGCTGAAGAATGGGTAAAAATAAAGCAGAGATCCATATAGCATGGAGACTCCATACAGCCTGTGCAATATGCAGGGAAGAATTTGCACTTCAGCCTCAGGTACATGTATAATTATGTCGACTACACAATTGTATTTAAAAAAAAACTTCCAGCGTTTCAGCTAAAAATCATTACCTAGAGGAAGAAAAGAAAGAAATGAAAGATTGTACTTTAAGACACCATTTAGCATTTAATAGCTGGACTCATATATCAGTGGCCAGCTCTGAAAGTATTTTGGACATGACATGGTAAAGAAAGTCTCATGGTGTTTATTTGTTTCTGAAGTTATGGCAGTAGAAGAGAAGGTAATGAGGCTTTTTATCTGCTCTTGCAAAGCAAGTATAGGCTATTTTTTGCTGCATTTAAACACCTGTTAGATATGATCTTAGGCTTCACTCATCAGAATGGTATATTCACTAATTACAAAATTTAATGTATGTTTTGTTTTCTCACAAGTTTTGTTACTTTGCAGTTCAGTTCAATAGTTATTTCTATTTGGAGAGTGGAAGTGGGTGTGCTCTTAATACCAGTCAGTCACTTCCTTAGATCTCAGAAGAAATGCTTGTGTTTCACCTTGATGGCTTTATTCAGTGCATGTGTGTAGCACAAGCATAAACATATCGTGCTTTATTAGATTCTCTCGTCTGTCATCTGGAAAACGTTAGGCAAAAGGGACAAGTGACTGGTTGCGAAAGAGGGCTACTTCAGAGAGGTGATGATGGTAATTAGAAGAATTATCTCAACTGCTTGCAAGTTTCTTTCCACATTGCATTTTAGGGACGTTTTTTCTGCCTGTTCCCTCTTCTGCTTTTTCTTGAAGGCTTTTTACAGCCGAGTTTGCGCTGTGAATCAAGGTCTTTCAATAGCCTTAGATACAGGGCTTTTGCTTCCTTCTACAGCAACGTTAACTGAAGGTGTACAATTGTCCACACACAGGTGGGATGGATCTGGCAAAAGACCATTCTGCCAATTTCTAGCTACCCTGAAAGTCTAAAGCTTGACAAGAGAGAGCAAAAGACAGCACTCATTAAAAAGGTTACTTCAGATTTGGCACAAAAAGGGAAATGCCTCTGGAATTCTTTTTGTACTTAGTGTTTCGTTAGCTTTCCTCCCTCAAGGGGAAAAAAGCCACTGTATCTGAAAGCTTTCCCTTCAGCTGGCTGCTAGCCATTAATCCTTTTGTGTTTGCCAGCTCAATAGTGCACACTACTTGTTCTGGTTTTCACTCCTTTCCTAGTTTTTCCTTCCTCTAAGAGCCAACTGCCTTTTTTGTCCAAGTCTGTCTTTTGTCAGGATGGAGATCATCAGCATTTGGTGGGAATTTAGGTCAGATAAAGGTGAAGTTTCCTTGTAGCCTGTGAACATGCTTTCTCTTTTGTGGTTTTTTTTTTTTTTGTATGTGTGAAATGCTGCATTTGGTGTATATCACTTCTTGAAATTTAACATCTCTGTGGGGACAAGGGAGAAAAAAAATCAGCTTTCATTTTAAGTACTTGTTTTATAATCTTTTCCTTCCATCAGTAGCAGTTGGCATTTCTTGCTTTCTGCCACTCCATGTGTTGTTAACACAAAATTCACATATTGGTTTAAGATGTAATATAATAAGTAATTTCTATAGAAGACTAAGTTTATTTTCACCAAAAAGACTGCAGTAGTAACAGAAAGAAATGGATGACTTTTCAGGCAGGTAGAATTTTTCTTGTCAGCATTTTTTACTTTTCAGCTTTTAGGATGGTTTAAAGCTAGCTTTAAACCTCTTGGGTTTGATTTTTCCTTTGAAAAACAGGTGCAGCTTTCATGTTCCCATGTATTCCATAAAGTGAGCACATTTTTATATAACTCTTCAAGCACATCGTACATGAGTATTTTAATTAAACTACTTCAGTCAGTATCTTAATGAATTAAATGTAATCATCTTGAAAAGTAATTTTGATTCCAGATTTTTATGGTTAGAAATATAATTTAAGGCTATTTTATGATTAAGCACTTTATTCCATTTTATTACCTTTTTAAAAAGCCGTATGGGAAAACACAGTTTGTAACTGAGCTATACATTTGTACACTAAGCAGGAACAGTTTAATTCATAAAATTTCATGTGAATATATAGAGATTTACAAAATTCTCTTAACATTTTAATTATAAAAATACACATTGTGTAGAGCATTCATGGATTGATGAATAATCTGGTTTTACATTCTGTAATCTATCCTGTTTAATCTGTTCCAATGATATGCAATATATTGTAATTGCAATTATTTTTTCAGGCATGCTTGAAAGCCCTTGAAAAATTTACAGGTAAAAAGTCTTGTCCTATGTGTAGAAGAGAGCAGTATCAGACCAGAGTAATACATAACGGGGCATGCTTATTGAAAATAAAGTGCACTTCTGCTATAGGTGTTGTCACTGGACAATATTTATTTATAAATAATGTTCCAAATAAGTTGAAAGTTTAATATAATAAGAAACTAGACAGAACGAATGCACTACAAAAGTTAGTTTTAAAAAAATGCATAAAATGATTGTGTCATATCAATAGTAAAATTATATAAATTATATAAATTTGCGTTTCCTCTTCTTAAGCAAAATTGTCTCTTACAGAATTCAAGCTTCCTGGAAAGGATATGTTGTTGGGAAATGGTATAAAAATTGAGAAAAATAGTGCCTACTAAAGACAGCAAATTAAGAAAGCAATTCTTTGAGACAAAGGTATGTTGCATTTGCTTCTTTGGTCTGATTCAGATCTCTTAAATCAAAACTCCTGAATATCAGCTCTCTAGCTTTTCATTAATTCCTTCTTATTCATGTCACACAGGCAGCACTGGAGGCACTCGGTTGTTTGGTTAGTCTGTTCATTCCATCCTCTTTACAATGTAGAAGGAAAATAATTTAAAAATTTAATTTTAAGGCCTGCCTTTTGCCTAGGCCAACAGTAGTGGGGCTTTTTTGTGAGGCTCTATATTTCCTCTCTCTTTTTGATAAATCCCAGTAATGTATTTTCCTATAGATTTATATGAAAGGGGTATAGTAAGGAGAGAAACAGATAAATCCATAAACCATCATAACTTCTTTTCACTGTCACTGTTCCCTCACTGGACACTGAACTGGATAGTTCCATTGCGTAGCTTTACCCTTCTTTAACTTCTGCTCAGATCAAGTCAGACTGTAACAAATTAGGGTCCTGACCCCATACAAATGAGGCAAAATCAGGTGCAAGCATTTTACAATGACGCTGCAAGTTGCAAGCTGAGTCAGTGGTAGGATAAACCAGTGTTTAAATCGGTGTTTTTTGTTTTGTTTTTAATCACTGCTGTAGTTAAACAGAAGAGTACTTGCACAAAAAGGCTTGTTAATGTCTGTCATTACTTCTCACTCTTACTTGGTTATATCCTGTTAGAAGTGAGCTTTGGAGGCAAAGACCCTCTCTTGCTGTTTATGCATTTGTGTATGACAGTGAGGTCGGTACCCTCTAGGTGATCCTGCAGACTGTTGCAACGAAGCCGGTACCACCGTTCTGCTTGTGTGGAAGCAGTGGCGAGAGAGGAAATACTGCTCTCAGCCTTCATCCAGAGGCAGCTTACTGCTCTCAGCCTTCATCCAGAGGCAGCTTGCTGGTTGCAGTGCTGCCTTTGTACTCAAGGCAAAGTCCTTCCCTTAACAGAGAAAAGGAATATGGAGGTAAATGAAGAAAGCTAATGTGACACTTGACAGTGCCCGAACTTAAGTTTGAAAGAAGCAAATCTTTTGATGGATTGTGACTGTGGGCTCAGGACACCATGCTTAGCCACAAACAAGGTCTCAATAGAGGGGACTTGAGGAAGGCTTGTAATTATGCCAAAAGTTGCAGCTGAGTGTCATTTGTTAAAATTTCTCTCACTGAACTTCACATGTCTACAGTAGCTGTCTGCCAAGCTGCCTACCATGGGCTAGCTTTTAGGGCCCCTTCCATAGCTGTTTTAGGGGAAAAACAGACTGGCAAATGTTTTGTCAGATGATTATAAGCCATGGGAAAGTCATCCTGTAACAGTTTCCGTATATAGTCTACAGCTAGGAACTCATTCTCGTATGTAACACTTCAGGATTTTGCAGGGAACAAAATGGGCACTACTTTTTCACCTTCTGTTAAGAATAAAGTTTAATTGAATTTAGTACCAATTATGATTAAAGGATATATACTTATTTTTCTTAGTGGCTTTCAAGTGGGGAATTGTAGATGAGTTTTCCTGCTGTTTGCTCTCAATACTTTTAAGTGTTGGTTAATGAAAACACTGAAGAAATTTTTCACAAGGAGCTATCCATTTACAGATGCTAAAAAGCTTCTCTAAAAGAAATCTTGCCTTTCAAACGTGTGCTGTGCTTTTAAAATGTCACTCCCTAAACATTAGCATACTCAAATGGCACCAATTGGAAAAAAAAAAATCAAATTTTTAATAACCCTGACTCCTCTGGAAGGATCACAAAGGTTAAACCTCAAGTTTCATACTCTTAAATAAATATCACAAAATAAAAAACAGGGTCTGAAATATTAGTACTAGAAAGGACACATATTACTTCTTTCAGGGTGCTACAGTAGCCCTTATTATACCTATCATTAAAATTTTTTAATAATCTAGAAGATCAAAGGAGATAAGAAAGGTCACTGAAACCAAAGTAGGCTACTTTTTAGCACTACTATACACAGAAAGCACGGTGTTGCTTCAGCATGTTTGGTAGTGAATTTCTTTGATCCTCCCTATAAATGTCACTTCTGTATGTCATTTAATTGTGGTATAGTCTTTTATTGGTGCAATTAAATCTCTTCAAATGCATTACATTATCTCCAGCTTTGCTGAAAATCTTGCTGTTCTGTAGGAAGCGAGGTAGGTCATTGTGAAATGATGTAGTTGGCTTTAGTTTCTTTCTCCCCCCTCCACATGATTTCTCCCAACGATTTTAATTTAAATCTCACCAAACAGTATAATGGTCCTGGAATTTGTTTAGTCCTTTGACTTCCTTTATCACATGGAGATGGTAAACATTCTGTTGCTAGCTTGAAGTGGCTCCAAGCAGCAAAACTAGGAGGATATTAAACCAGTAAAAGCTTATCAACTGATTCATTGATATGCTGTAAATTCCAGTCTTTTCATTTTACTTTTGAGGGTTGCCATAAGTCAACACATTAGTAAGCAATTTGCTGACACTGGCTCACTTAAAAAGGCTTCCCTGTGGCCAAAGTTCACCTCGGTGCTTTGTTTCATCGTTTTATTTATCATAGTCTTGTGCTGCTGTACAGATGACTGATGTGTAGTTTTGCATCCTGACAGAGTATTTCAGATACTCAGCTTATGCTGTTCTATTCAAGTTTTAAGAAGTCACAGACAAAGTATAGAGGTATGGTGTTTTCAGAAATAAATTCTATTAATCAGTTTCAGTTGTTCTGGGGAAAAAAGGTTATTCAGCATTATGCATTAAAACACAGCAGGATTCATTTAAATCCTAGAACACATGAACACTAACAAATTATCCAGAATGCTTATTTCCTTTCTGTCCACATTGATCGTTCGCACTGATTTGCCAGTTAACATAAATTTTGGGTTAAATTTCAGTTACACTTTTTTTTTCTTTCCAACCTTAGACTTTATTTGCTGATTGATGGATATGGGTTGGGTCAGGTCATACTGCAGAAATTACAGGAGTAGCTCAAAGCAGATAGTATCTTAGCAGCAGAGGAACTCAATACATCACTGTCTCAGGCAGGAGAAGCGTTTTTCTCTATTTTTGCAGTTTGTGCTCAAGGAGGCTCATGAGAAGACTTTCAGGATCACTTAGTGAAAGGGGGAAGAGAAACGCAAATGCAAGCTCAGGGAGGAAATGGAGGGCTTCTCTCCACCGAGTGGGAAAGCAATCAGCAGCACAGGCACAGGGGCACTGCTTGCTTAGTGCAACCCCAGCCCCTCTCTACCCCCCGCTTTCAGCAATCCTTGTTGGTTAGTTTTCCTCAGCAGCCTTCCTACTCATAGGAAGTTCACAGAGACTGTGGAAGTGACCACATACTGTCTGTGTTGCACTCATGTTCACAGACATCGACACTGGATAGGGCAGAGTTAACATGTGGTTGCTTTTCCTCTAATTTTAGGTCCCGAAAGGCTATTGGGAAGCATCATCATGACTGCTCTAGCTCTCTAGTACATCCACCTAGCTCTCTTATGAAAACAGTCCAGATCTGTTGAAGCTTGATGTCAACATAAACGAAGACCAAGCATAAATCAGGACCAAAAGTCTTCAAATGGATCAACCTTTACTTGATCGCGAATAGAAACATGAATTAGATAAGGTTTAGGTAGAATCTTACCCTATTCTTCCTGAAGTCAGATTTTAAAAAGAAATCACTAAGAGCAGTTAAAATTGCAACGTGGAATAGATTCAGTTCTAGAACCTCGGTAACAACAGTTCAGATAAAACTTAATAGGACTGTCATTGCTTAATTGAATACATAATTGCATTAACATATTGAAGACATAGCCTGATTCAAGTGCAGTGCATGAGGATTTCATGTCTCATTCAGGAAGCCCACAGTATCATTGTTTGGATGCCACAAAGTGTAAATGTGGTGGGATTCTTGTTGGTTTGTTTTTTGTTTCACTGAAGGTCAGTGTGCATGTTTGCATGGGAGAGAATCCGATTTTTTTTCTTTCTTGTCAGTGAACAGTCATGAAGGGAGCACAAGATTACCCATCTGCTCGTTCCTAGATAGGAATTCTCTTGAGTACAGAAGGGGTTGCTGTTTTCCCTGGAACATTGTGATTTAAATACATACGCTATACAAGGGGTCTCAGGGGATTTTTTTATTATTATTGTTCTTTAAGTTAGTTAATGTTGATGCATCAACTTAAAGTAACAAGGTAAGTAAATGGGATTTGAGCTGACAAATGGATACCTCCTTTCAATATACTGTTGCATTAGAGATCATTTGGAAATACAGTAAGTCATAATTGATCTCAGCAGTGAATCAGATCATAAAATAAAAAGAATGCACAGGATCAAATCTAATGTCAAGAAGCAAACAACTTGCCTTACTTGATTTTCACCATTTCCCTTACCTGTATGTTTCTAATGTTTGTCTGAAGTCTATGTTGAGAAACATTACGGGTTTCACTGGAAGACATTTTCACATTATATGGACATGATGTTTTGGGATTTAAAAAAAAAATTAACTGATTTTTTTCAGTTTTAGAAGGAAATTTAGGATATTGAAAGTTTAAATGAAACCTTAGAATGTTAAATGAGCTTTTCAGATAGTTTTTGTGGGATTTGGGCTCTTGATTCCTTTGGGTCTCAAAAAGTTCACTTTGAATATTCTGAGATATGCTACAAAGGGTCACTTTAGCAGTTGTAAGGGAGCCCAGGTCCTAGTAGAGAAAAGCTACTGAAAAAAAATAAAAGTGAATTGAAACAACAGGAAAACGTTCAGGTACCATCAGGCTGTCCAACCTTGACAACAACCCATCTGCCACCTCACCTCCCATTTCTCATCCCATCCTCCCTGTTTTCCCGTCAAGTTCTCACTCACAGGAAACGCATGGAGAGGAAGGCTCACATTGCATGGTCACAGTACAGGTGTTGAAGTGTTCCTTAAAACTGCTGAAAGCATTTGCAAGCAGAGTCTCAAAAGACAAGTCTAAGACTTGCGTGGCTCCCTACAGAACTTTCAGACATTGCGGTAGCAATGAGAGCAAGTGGCCACAACAAGCTGGGATTGCACTCAAGGTGATGATTAAATTTAAGAAAAGCCTTCATCGCCTTTAGGTATTTATTTTGCCAAGCACTGATGGGAGCATTTTCAGATAGGATGACCAGATTGCTCAGACCTACGTGCAACACGCAGAAACACGTTTCAGGCAGTAGGTCATAAAAGGCTATGCCAAGGACAAGACCTAAGATGCCTCTTCTCTCATTGGGTGTTGTGCCTTTAGCTAAGCCCACAGCAGATGCCCTGGTTTCCCATGAATGACCAACGCTCAGTTGAGTTCTACATTTCCTTTCTCAAACACAGCTGTACCCTCTGCACTGCACACATACGGGTTACGAAAAGTGCATCTGTCTTGGGAAAGTTAAGTGATCAAAGTCCTGCGTTTTCTCTGATGGATAACAGTCCATCAGTGGAGTCTGGGGACCTGATGCTTTTAACCTCTACATCAGCCCTGGAGACCAGCTGCAAACTGGAACAAGATTCCATAGATCATGTAACTAATCAGGTCCACTTGTCCAGTCACTCACAATTCATCCACATATGGACTACCTATAAGTAACTCCAAATCTAACATCAGTCAATTTTCTTTTCAGGTTTAGTAGATCAGCAATCAACTGTTGAGTTCTTACAACATCAACCTCGAAGAATTTTTTTCTGAGATAGATTCTTCTATAGCTGGAAGTCAAGATGTGTTTCAACAGTTAGAAGGAAAAGAAATACTAGTAAGTGAAACCGACTGGGAGAAGATCCAGATGCAGGTTGGTTGGCTTGGGTTTTTTTTAAGTAGTTTTGCATTTGTAAGTTTTTTTATGCTATTTTGGTGTATGGCAGTCTTTTCAGCACAGCTCAGTGTTTTCCATTGTCTTAAATTTTGGTCCATCTGTTCCAAATTAGAAATATTAAAAAGTTTTTACAGTTCAGGGATTTACCTCAGCAGCATCTCCCTTCTACTCAGTTAAAGAGCCCAAAGAGGCTGCAGACAAAATTGAGAATCAACTTGTTAATAGCTTATCCAAATACGTTACAGTCATAAAACTTGGAACATTTGAACTGGCGTACTCCTGATAGATTCACCTTCCATTGTTTCACTACAGGTTGGTTGGTTTGGTTTTACTTCAGCATTTCTGCAAGAGATACCTGACTCTATCTGTATTGTGCCACTCAGTCCTCCCTTTCATCCTGCCTCTCTCCCTTCTGGTAACTGCAATCAGTTTCCACGACGGACTGTTCTGCTTTCTTGTTCACATTTGTTTCATCAAACCTATCTTGAAGCATTTGAAGAGTTTTCCTTAGGAGAGCAACATCTTTGTCCTTTATGTTGTTGATGTTATCCAAAGAAGATCCTCACATGTCGATAACTTATAGCTCATATGAACTGCCTCATTGAATGTAGCTGACACCACACATACTTTGGAGAGTTTTCAGATCCAGATCTTCCAAGAACAAAGGATTTTGTACAGACAATGGTACTTGCCTTGTATTTAGAGAAACAGGAGTTAGAAGGGTGCTGTTGCTTCTCTTTTATATTCGGTTTCACCTTTGGTCTTCCAGTATTTTTAGTCTTCCTCCCTCTCTCACTCCTACTTTGCCAAGAAGAAAAACGGTATCAGGCCTATTCAGTTCATTTCTGTAACAGGACACAGGCCTGCAGATGTAGCAGAAAATGCAGTATCACAAAAAATAAAACTAAAGTGCAAAATACACACTTATGTAGGAATAACTCCATGCATGAGATGATTCACATCATAAACGTGTAGCAATGTACTGACTTTCTGTAGAAGGACATCCAGAAATATATTTGAGAACACAAGTTCAGTAGGAATGAATGATGTTACCAAAAAAAAAAAATTAAAAAAAAAAAGTACTGAAGACATGATGTATTGTAAGGCTGCAAACCAGGAGGTTTCTGTGTCTGGTTCTGAGATCTGCATTCCTAGAAACACATGAGGGTCTCCACAGGCAGGAAAAAGGATGATGAGAGGCCTGTGCAGAACAGCTGAGGGAACTGGAGGGTCACTTCTTATACAGAAGATAAAGACAAATGTAACCTTTCCGGTGTGGAAAAAGCTGGTGCAAGCAGAAGGACTTGTCTTACTACAGATGCTTGAGAACCAAATGAAAGCTTAAAGCGTGGCAAGGGCTGTTCATGTGTAGTGCCTAGAGACAGCTCAAAAACCACATGGCAGACAGTCCCTGCCAGGCTGCTTAAGTACCAGGAAGAACATAGGTATGTTTGATCCTCTGCAGCTGAACAGACCAGATGTCTCCAGCTGTGTGATTCTTGAACTTTAAAAAAAAAAAAAACAATCTCCTGTGAAATAGAAAGCCTGAAGCTGTTCAAGTTTCAAACAGTTCAGGAAACATGGAGGTCAGGCCTTCAATATGTAAGAACTGCCCTTCAGTCCAACTATTGAGCTACTGAAAATGAAATGTATTACATAGTCAGCATGCCCTTCTATACACAAACCTCACTTGCCCAAAGTAGAGGGATCAAATTAATTGTTCACTTGTCTTAAACACAAGGGCTGTAACGCCTCTGAATGCACAGGAATCTCCATCACATACCATACTTCATCTATGTTAAAAACCTGACCGTTTGAGGATCTTAAAAGCATGTCAAATTGGGGGTAGGAAGGAAGAAGAGAGGGGAATGCAACTATTCACACCAGCTACTGATGGGATAATTTAGAATTCCACCGATTATTTTTTTTTCATTGCTTAAAATAAAACAAAAAAAAAGCAGCAAAACTCCACTACAAATCACACTTTAACTTTATTGAAAACACAGTTTAAAAAAAAAAATCTTCCTACAAAACATTCAGTGTAACATTTCAAACAAAGGAAAAAAAAAACCACACTACCACTGCTTTTCACAAAAAATTCAACCTGCTAAGGCAGTAAGTATTTGCATTTCCTTTTGTAACACAGCAAAGTATCCACAACTGAGAACATTATAAAACATATTTCTGGATGACCTAAAATAAACCAGGAAAGGTTTGGTGGGGAGAAGATATGTACATGGAAAAGTAACACTAAAAGCATAATTTCTCAGCTATGTTTTACCTTGGTCTCGGATAACATCCACGTGAAAGAAACATCAGCTGCTCAAGACTCTAGAATTTACAAAGCCCGAAGCACAAATCAGACCAAGGCGGACCGCTGATTCCATTCAACATCTCCCAGCCTCACACACAGTTAAGATTGTGCATAACTTTTATTTATTTTGTAAACTGAAATCTTAGCCAGTAACACTGCAGTGAAATACCTGAAAGCGCATGACAGAAGGTATCTGCTGCCATTGTTACAGCAACAGCAACGCTAGTTCAGAACTGGATTTCCATGGTTGCGTCACCCAAGTCCACATGAAGCTGATCGCATGGGCCAAGACGTCTCCTCAATGGGAATTTTAGAGACAAAGCTTCACAAAGACAAGAGCAAAGTGCATTTTCTGTTGAGGTAACGCAGGGTTGGGTTCCAAATGCCACAAGAGAGTAAAGGAAGTCTAGCCATATTTTTTGTGTATATGTGTTTCATACACTTTAAGATTTCCAATCCATGACCCAAATGTATCTTCTTTTTCTATCCATTTGTGTTAAAGTAATAAGAGTGAGGCCAAAGAACACAAAAATACTTTGAAACCTACGTTTAAGAAATGAAAAGTGGCTCAACTTTGTGTTGTTATATAAAGCCAGGGAGGAGAAAGTTACCTGCACAGATTTTGTGAATCTAATTCTGGCTCAGATTGGCAAAACCTGTGGCTAGGGGAAACAGGAGTTATGCACCACTTCGTTTTCTCCTTACGCATTTAAACAGATCCATCATATCCACAATACAGGTACCGCCATCATGCCATTGTTCTGAATGATCATTTTACATGGAGAAAGAAGGTCCAAAACACACTTACGCGCATGGAACAGAAAAGGTGCAGAAAACACGCGTGAAGAGGCTTACCTTGGCACCATGCAAAGTGTGACTTTGGTCAAAACACAGAAGAGTTACGCACTGCCGACACAGCGGAACGGTGCGTCGCAGTCTCTGACGAGTACGGCAGCACAGCACATCAGCAGCTGCAGTCCCACTCTACAAACTACAGGACGACCAAAGAGCAGTCCCCCAGCACATCCGCTACTCTGGAGTCACTGCTATCGACGTGGGCTCAAATCCTGTACGAGCACGTTACTCTCTCACTGAGAAGCTGGCTGGTTGCCTCACACTACTGGAAGTTAAAAGTACATCCGTATGCAATGACTAAACCACTTCCATCCAACTCCTAATTCTAACTTACATGAGCTCTTGGTAACTTGTTAGAGGATCCACTCTAACAACAGGATTGGTTTAATGGAATCTAGTGGTAGAAAACAGATCAAGCACAAATGAATGAATAAATACTAACATTTTCATAATGGAAAAACATTTCTGACTAGGGAATGTTTCTGTACAGGCTATGTGGGAAAAGAAATACATTAAAATCAAAGCAAGAGATACTTCAATAGTTGATATCTATGGAAGCACTGAATACATGAGGAATGCAAAATAAAGTGCTGTTCATGAAAGGAGCTTCATCCAGTGATGCCGACTATAAAACTTGATGTAAGGGGTGGCGGGGAGCAACAGGAACACTTGAGGTTAATACACAACAAACATTTAGAAGCAATTTAGAAGCAGTATCCCAAAGTGCTCATGTAGGTACAAATGAATAGTCAGATACTTAAAGTCTTTAAGAAGTGGGATTTCCTAATTTCTATGTTTAGCTGAGGTCTTAAGCGATTTAAAAGCTTTATCTGCACTAGTTTAGATATGTCAGGATTATCAACATTTACAGGATATTTCTTACACTATTGCTTTTGCCTGTCTGGAGTCACCTTCTGTATTTGTTAAAACGTTTAATGCTATGTATATAATAAAAACAATAATCTATGAGCAATAAATGAAACTCAAAAAGTTGCTTAGAAAACTATGGTAATTAACACAGAACGAGCAAGCATCCTCGGGTTTTCTGTTAACAAGTAAGAGCCACTTTGACAAGTTCATGGGCTTCTCTAAATTTGAAGTCAAGGATACTGTTGCACTGTGAAAGGACACAGATTTTTCAAAGAACTTACTGAGTTCTTTCCAGTGCTAGTGAATTCCAGTGCATTTGGAGAACATTCAATTAACTTTTCTATACTGATGATAAATGTGTTTCTTTTTTCTCTTTGAAAGAAGAGTTTGAGGTGGTTCAATTGTGAAATGTTTCAAAAAACCTTCTCATTTAAGTCTCCTGCTGGTATATATTCTTACAGATCATACATCAGATCTATGTAAATTCTTCCTGGTCTGTTATTTCACGTTTTGTGTACATCGAGAAGAGGACCGGTTCTTAACATCAATGCCACAGAGTAAGATGAATGACTTGAACACAAAAAAGGGAAAGCAAGCGAGATGTTAGATGTCTTCAAGAATTAAGGCCAAATTTAGGAAAGTTTCATCCCACTGAATGATCAGCTGATCATCATGAATGATCCACATTACTAAAAATATATTTTAAATCTTTAAAAAATTCATTAAATTCAGTAATGTGGAATTTTAAAGATAACTAGAAAAAGAATGGAAAACAGACTGTCTGCACAAGTGAGCTCCGCATCATTTCCCATCCTCGTCCCTCCCCACGAACTATTGGGCACAGTAAGGATTCTGGATGTCACATTTAGCCTTAATTCCCCACCAGACGTATTGTCTTCCTAAGATTCTGGTCGATATTGTCAAGCTTTAATTGCTAAAATGAAACTTGTAAGAGATCCTCTCTGGATGTGGTCTGGGGGGGACATGGTTCTATTCAGAACCATGCAGCATTCTTGAGGCAGCAAGAAGCCATTCAAACACAGAATGGCCTGCAGAGAAACGTACAAGCAGAAAATCCTGAATGCCTTCTTAGTCCCAACAACACAGAGCTGAAAGCGAAAAGGTACAGTTCGAGAACATGCACAGCTATCGCCTGCAAACCCTGCGAGTCTGCAATCTCAAGAGTCACCCAGTTCATCACCTACAACCGTGTGTAGCAGATGGACAAACCATGGGCTGATCTCCTCACACCTGGAACAGAAATGGAGCATCACAACTCTTTACGACAGCGTCGGAGACTGTTTGCCTGAGGTAAGGGCACTGGGCAAGGTAGAAAAAGGTGGCAGAAGTTATCACCATCTGGGTGGTGGCTGTTGGCTTAGATTGCTCTCCCTGAATGAGATGAATTCAAAAGCACTGGTTTTGTAAAGTTCCAGTGCTGTTCATGAGACTGAAATAACTTGCCAGTTTACCAACAGAAAATTCCATATTCAGGAGCTCAAGATTTCAGCTCCTGAATATACAGGGTGGGGAGGGA